ATCCTACTGGCACAGAAGGAGGTTTCCCCTCCTTCTCCAGTGGACCATCTGATGGATTTGAACTGCGCACCTTCAGGATTGCAGCACAGCTTCTTGGCACTAGGCCATAAGAGCTCCCTTACACAAGTGATTTTTGTAAGATTGCCATCATCTTTTCAATTGCTTGCTAAGTATATGAGAGCTGGGAAATAGTAAGGAGGACAGAACTGATGCCTTTAAGTTGTGGTGTTGGAGAAGAGGACTGAGTACCCAGAAAACATATGTCTTGAGAAAAGTGCAGCCAGAGTGCTGCTTAGAGGCAAAGCTAGCAAAGTGGCATCTCTTCTATTTTGGGTATGTGAGTGGCTATTCTTTGGAAAGGGACATCATATTTGGAAAAGTGGGAAGTCAGTGAAAGAGTGGAAGATCCCAATGAGATATATTGACAAAGTCACTGCAGCAATGGGCTCCAGTGTGTCAGAGATGATGAGGATGGGGTTGACTCAGTGGCACACAATAACAACAATATGCCTAGTTTAAGTCATGCTGTGGGAGACTGTTTTCTCACCCAAACCTTGAGCTGCTCAAGTTGAAACAAAGTTTAGAAAGAAATCCTTGTCCTCAGATAACTCTCCACCTCCTCACAAGGTTAATTAATCTAAAAGGTAAGCAGAGATTTTTAAGATCTTTTTACTGGCATTAAACAACTCTGGGAACTCACCGGCCTATCTGCCCTTCTGGTAAAATCATAGTTCAGTGACAGCATCTATGTCACAGATACAGCCTGGCATTCTTGTAAGGTGGGCTCCTTGACCTTTTCCATCCACAGTGCCCCTTGGCAATTTAGTGGTGTATTTGGTCCAAGCTTAAATATAACATTTTAAATATATTGAAACACTGATCAAAATGTTAAAAAGTGTGATACAGTAGTGTGCTTCTTATGAATGCCTTGCATAAAGGGGAGTGTGTGTGTGTGTGTGTGTGTGTGTGTGTGTGTGTGTGTGTGTGTTTATTCATAGCAAATACCTTTTTTTACCTAACAACAACTTTGTTTTGTTGAGAATATGCACAGTAGAACAATCACCACTTCAATATTTTCTGCATATACAATTCAACTTGTAAAACCATTTTCTTTTTTTATTATTGTTGTTTTTAATTCATTTTAGTGAAAGTTTACAGAGACTTTGGATTTCCTTGCCTTCATTGTTGAATAAAAGTTTTGAAGAGCTCTGGCAGTGGTGTGGTTAAAGGAATCCGCTTTGAACCGAAAGGTCAGCAATTGGAAGGAGCAGCTCTGTGGGAGGAAGCAGGCAATCTGCTTCCATGGATTTACCTCCTTGGAAACCCTGTGGGGTATGTCTCCTCTGCCTGACAAAGACAATCGAGCCAGAACTAGCTTGACATCAATGTGTTTGGTTTAGGGTTTGCTTATATATGGAAGAAGTAAAAAACATAATTTTGTAGTAGGGATGAACAGAAATTGTTGGATAAAAACAGTCAACACCCTTAATACTAGCAGTCAAGAAATCAAAAGACATGTCACATTGTGAAAATCTGCTATCAAGGACCTCTCCAAAGCACTAAAGAACAACGACTCTAAAGACTAAAGTGCACCTGACCCCAACCATGGTCTTTTCAATCTCTTGCTCTGCATCTGAGAGCTGGACAGTGCATAAGGATAACAGAAAGATTGATGCCTTTGAGCTATGGTGTGGAGCAAAAACCACTGAACATCCCGTGGATGGCCAGGAGGACAAATAAATATGTCTTGGAGCAAGTGCAACAAGGTTATTCCTTGGAAGAAGTAATGATGGTGGCATATATTTCAGACACACTGTTATGAGGGCCAGGCCTTGGGAAAGGACACCATGCTGAGAAAGACAGAGGGTCATCTAAAAGGAGGAAGACCCTCAGTGAGGTGGACTGACACAGTGACTGCAGCAAGTATATCAGAGCTGATGAGGACGGCACAGGGAGGGCAAGGCTCAGATCTGTCATTCACAGGGTCATTATATTGTACCTGATTCAATGGCACCCAGTAGTAACAAGTTGTTGTTGTTGTTGTTGTTGTTGTTGTTGTTGTTGTTGATTACCTTTGAGTTGAGCACAACTCAGCGACCCTATGAACAAAACACCTGAAGCCCTTCTACAACTATAGACTTTATTAAAGTTCATAGAGTTTCCAGAGGCATATGCTTTAGGAAGTGGATGCCATTCCTGCTTCCAAACCTGTCATGGTATATTATTGTTGCTATATGCCATTGAGTCATCTGCGATATATATATATAAACAATAGTCTATTAGAAACAGTACTTTCAAGGTAGTTGCAACAACTACAAAGTGATATGAAAATTATCTATAACTTATAGTTAGGACCTTCATTGTCAGCCTTCATACTGGAAGGAAATTATTCCTTTTATTTAGAAGTTAATGAAACTAAAGATGTAACAGAATTTTTTTGTGCTCTTATAATAATGCTCAACATGCACATGATACTGTAACTTGCTACCTCAAATTCACACTAGCATGTAAATGGTTATCCCAGACCATTTCCTCAGAACAGGCAAGACAGTGGAGAGCTCTCTCAAGTACCAGGTGCCAGCACAGAGAGACACAGTATGCTGCAGAAAAACTGTTGCAGAAATAAGAAGACTTCATTTGCAAAAGCAGCCTCCCCACCCATGAAAAGTTTGCTCATATGTGGGGCAAGCAAGCTTTCTCTGCTTGGTGGGGATCTGCACCCCCAGGTTCAATGAGCAAGCTCCGCCCTTTGAGTTCTCAGATGCTTCCCCATTTAGGCTGAGGAGACTGATTTTCTCTCGCGCAGTCCTCCAAGGATATTACAGATCCAGAGGTGTCTGAAAGGTGCACTTGCGGATGCCAGCTGGCCTGAGTGCTGAGAAGTGGTGGGGAGTGGTGAGGAGTGTGGGTCCTCTCAGGTGGAGGGCACTGGCTCTGAACCTTGGGCTCCTACCCTCCAGAGGGGTAATTTACAAACCTCCTTTCAGAAACACTTTCTTCCCTTGCTTAAAAACTAGTCAAAGGAAACTCCATGCTAGTCAATCAATTGAAAGGCACTTATTAAGGACCGTTTTCAAAGTTAAAAAGCATCGATACAAGGAGCATCACATCAATTCCAGATTATTCTTCCCTGAGACACATGCTAAATGAGGGGGAAACCTGTCCGAAAGGAATATATGATCAGGCATTGGATGTATGACAACAATCTGGAACATAAGGCACATTGCAGGGTGAACTGGGGCAGGGGTTAGAGGAGGCAAGGGGGAAAATGTGCCCCCCAACACACACACACACACAAATCAATAAAAAAGTTAACTAGGGGAAGGGGAAGGTGGGGGAGGGAAATGTTCAACAGTGAACAAATGAAAATCCATCTTTTCTGTAAACTTTCATTAAAATCACAATAAAACAAAAATTTTTTTTAAATGAGATGAAACATTAGCTTGCTCCTCAGAAAAGAAAGGTCTTGGAGTCAACGTCCTCTCACAAAGGTGAAGGAAACCAGGCTCTGATCACCTGGGGACAGGACAGCCAGCCAGCCACGTATAAAGGTGAACCCTTAGACCTAAACCCCATTTGCTGTACTCACTAAAGAAGCTTTTAAAACAAAGTGTCCAGTGATTTTAAAAAAATCTTGAGAAGCTAAGCAGGAGGAGAGAAAAGGTTTTTCTGCCTGCAGCCAAGGGGGAAAGAGAAAAACTGAAGACCTTTCTAAAAATCAGTAAATAAAGGGCCTTGAATCTGTTACCAAGCATCCTGACCTGGTGGGACTCTGCACAGGTTTCTAAGGCTGCAATCTTAATGAGAGTAGCCACCCATCTTTCTCAATTCTACATGGAGGCGGAGTATTTTGTCTGTGCCACTGTTCTGTTTCTTCTTGGCCTTCAATTCTAGTCACATGCATTGCAGCTGCTACTGAATTGTGTTTGAGAAGCCTACTAGATTGAGTTCAAGGTCATGTTGTTTCACCAAATGTTACTGTTGTCCTACACAGGACAGAGTCTCAAAACCTTCAAGGCCCAGAGGTCAGGGGGCCATGAGAGCCTCAGTATCTGAGAGCTGCAGCTGTAAGTTACAAACAACCCAAGATGAATTATCTTTACACTTAACTGCATCTGATTTGAAAAAGCCATGTTCTGTAAAAGAAAACTAGGCTACAAAGATAAGATTCCTATATTCTTACTACTTATAGAAACAGCTATTATAACATATTAAAGCATAAAAACATAGAAACAGCTATCATGACATAAAGCATAAAAACATCTATAATTATGTAGGCAGCTGCTCCATACAAGTTAAGTTTGCTTAAGGGCAATTACTCTCACAAGATAGTAGTACTTTGTGTGTACAATTCTGGTTTGTGACTCTGGCATTAAAAGGTCAAATAGTTTGGCAGAAACTCTCCTGGAGGGGTGGGGCCCTACCAGATGGCTCTGGACTCCAGGTCCCTGGTGGAAAAGGCAGGATCTGAACACCAGCCCATACGGAGAGTCATATGCCTCATTTAAGGAGTCCAGGGCTAAAGCACTTGGCTACTAACTGAAAGGTTTTTCATTCATATCTACCACTAACTATCAGGAGAGAGACGAGGTCAACAGCTTTTGTAAAGACTGTTGTAGTTGTTGGTGAGTGCTGGCAAGTTGGAACCCACTCAAGCTTGCCCTTTGTTGGGTTTTCAGAGGCAATAGATCACATGGGAGGAGACTGCTCATCTTTCTCCTGTGCAGCAGCAGCTGGATTCGAACCACATGCCTTTGGGTTGGCAGCAGAGCTCTTTACTACTAAGCCTCCAGAGCCCTCTCTGTAAAGACTACGGTCTGGGAAGTCTTACAGGACAGTTCTACTCTGTCCTGTGGGGGGACCACAGATTGTAATTCACTCAACAGCAATGGGCTTGGGCAGGGTTTATTTGATCAAGTCTAACAGCTTCATCTTATCTTACTCATTACATACACACAAACCTTCTCCCAAAACAAATAAGACTCTCCCTGGTTACTCACCTAGCCCACCTTGACAAATGTCTGTTCGGGTAGCTCCACCAATGATGAACTCAGGCCTTAGACACAGCTCCTGGAAACAGTGAGAGGGACAAACACAGATCAATGAGATGCTCAGTGATGCTAGCTACGTGGCTGAAGGAATAGAAAAACCAGTTAACTCCAAGTCGTGGTGGTCCCACACGTGTCAGGGACTGAGTCTTCAGACACAGCTCACCAGGTCTTGCTTCTGAGGTGTCTTGGGGTCAAGCTGAACCTCCTGCCATTCAATTTGTAGCTGAGTGTACTAACAACTCAAGGGTTTCCAGAGGAGCAGTAGAGTAAGAATCCCAGACCTGGAGGCAACCTCAGATGTCACCGACCACACTTTCATGTACATGTGCTGTGGTGGCTGTTGCTGTTTACTTTCAAGTCTGAAACCACTCATAGCTGACCCTCCAGTGGATTATCAAAGGTAGTCAATCCCATGGGAGGACATTATTCATTTTACTCCCGTGGAACAGCTGGTAGACTCGAACCATGTTCATTTGAGTTGTCAGTACAACAACTTACCACTAAGCCATGATGAGATCCCTATGTGTAGTGTGCAACATAGTCAAGTTATGGCATCCATAGCTACATGCTTTCTTTTCTTTATTTACTATATATAATGTTGAAGTATGTAATGTATTATGCTCAGATACTCATTGATGTTTATATGCTTCCAATCTCCTAAGACAAATAATGTTGGATTTATAAAGGTACTGATGAAGAAATTCCAGTCAGAACTGACTGAGGGCAGTCACTGGAGCAGACACTACCTGGGCTTCATTTTATTGCCAAGAGCTCAGAAACCCAGGAAAGCAAGTTACCTTCGCACCAACACAGCGAGAAAGCAGCCAGCAGGAGCCAGCCTCTGTGACTACAGTGTGACCAAGTTGAGTGGTGAAAAGATGGGGGGGAGGGAAGCAGAAGGAGGAAAAAGGCAAAAGCTGAGATAATAAGGTGATGAGATATGACCTCATTTCCTTAGCCAACACCACTATTTACAGAGAGGGAGAATTAGAATAATGTAAACAAAATGCTATGAGTCCTGCTGACACTCATTAAACACTTGACTAATTGACAATGTTCCCATTTGCTGATGTAAACACTGAGGTGTCAGGAACCACCACACCCAAAGAGGAGAACCCAGTTCTGGAGTGTTCCCACATCTACCCTGGATGTCCTCACTCTTCATTGTCCCTACCTGACATCTGCTCAAGGGTAGTCTGTAGCCTGAGCTCTGCTGGTCTCCTGGGGCACACTGCAGCCATTTTCTCCTTTCTTGCTGACCCAACAAAGGAAACCTTGAGTACTCTGCATGGTGCACATGCTCATCGCTCCAAATTACTGAAGAACAATGATGTCAGTTCAAAGACCGGGGTGCACCTGATTCAGGCCATGGTCTTTTCTGACACTTGCCATGCATCTGAGAGCTGGGCAATGAGTAAGGATGACAGAAGAACTGGTGCCTTTAAGTTGTGATGTTGTATAAGAGTACTAAATATCTCATAGACTGTCAAAAGAACAAATAGATATATCTTAGGAAAAGTGCAGCCAGAGTTCTCCTTGGTAGCAAGGATGGTTAAGCTTCCTCTCATATTTTTGGCATGGTCCTAGGAAAGGTCAGTGAAAGAGAAGACCCTCAACCAGGTGGATTGACACAATGACTGCAGCAATGAGCTCAAGTGTGTCAGAGATTGTGACGATGGCAAAGAATAGGACAGGATTCAGATCTGCTCTTCATAGGGTCACTGTGGGTTGTACTCAACCTAACAACAACAACAACAGGTTGGATGTGTGAGTCCACCCAGAAGCACCTCTTCGAGAAGGAAGGCATAGTGACCTACTTCTAGCAATCAGCCTGTGAAAACCGTTCTTCTCAGCCACACATGGTGTCACCATGGATAGAGGCTGACTAGAAGCCATCCAGTTTCATCATATTTACAGTTCTAATGTACCCTGGTGGATACAGAGCAGGAAGGGGAAGCAGAGAGTGACAAGTAGCAAGCAGCACGGTGAAATGAAGACAGAAAAGATTTAAAATACATGATTCTTGGCCTCAAAGTACTTTCCATCTGTAGGAAATGAAGACTGATAGAAAGGAGGGAGGGGATATCAGAAGGACTTGCCCAAAGCACACAAAGGCAGAAAATCAAGAAAGTAAGATTCTGGTAGAAAGACTATGAGATAAATGATCTGGAAATCTGTGGAGGGAGCTCTGATGACGCTGTGACTGAGGCATGCAGATGCCAAGTAAAGGTCAGAGGTTTGACTCAGCAACCAATCCCAGAGGAAAAAAGAAAGGCCACGGGGCCTGTGGGTAGTTCTGCTCTGCCTTCAGAATAGCAAGGGTTGGAAGCAGCTCAACAACCATAGTCTCAGTCTCCTTTCCTTTACGGGGATATGGATCAGCCTGGCCACCAGGCAAACCACTACACGAAGGAACCAAAACAATCCATGGTTCAGCAGAGGCGTCGTGGCCTAGGCCACTTCACGAATGGTCCTACCACAGTGAGGAAGGAGCACTTTCATCTGATTCCAGAGAGATTAAACAAAAACAAAAGCTCAAGTCATGACTTTGTGAAAGTGATGAGAGTCTGCTTCATGGTGAGCCCATGTGTGTCACGGCACCATGGTGGTCCAAGGGAGAAGTGGCACTGCAATCACAAAGGTTCAAATCCACCAGTTGCTCCACGAGAGAAAACCCACTGGAAGGTCAGTTCTGAGAGGATTCTGACTCGATGACATGCAGCAGCCATGACCACACCTATAAGAGTGGACCTGTGCTCTGCTGAGTGTCCCAAGGCTGCAACCTTTGTCTACCAGTTCACCAGTCCTTTCCTCAGCTGTGGGGTGGCTTCACATCACCACCCTTTAGACAAGGACTTGAGCGTGACACATTTACGCCATCTCTAGAAATGGAGGATTTTTTTTTAAGGCAACATATTGCTGTTAAATCAGAAAAGACTCCTGCCTGACTCCAGTGGGTTTTCAGAGGCTGTGAATTATATACGAGGAGATTGTCCATCTTTCTCTGAGGAGCCACTAGTGCACTCTAACCATCAAAGAAGGACTAGCTTCATGTTAGCAGCGCAACTCCCTACAAACCAGGCTGCGGAAGATGGGACAGGGTGGGAAAGGCCAGAGGGTGGAGCTGAGCTAGATGCCTGGAGCCAGGGGAGGTGAATGGCTGGCACCAGGCTGCTGCTGTAGGACACAAAGCCTTCCGGCCCGCCAGAAACCAGTGCCCAACAAAATGGTTCAAGACAGCTCCTTTGGGCTAGCATTTCGGTAAGGGAGTATATCCAGGGAGCTCGACTGGCCTAGTGTTAAGAAGCTGTGCTGCAATCCCAAAGGTACATAGTGAGAGTCCACCGACAGCAAGGGAGAAGAATAGACAATCTCCTCCCATAAGATTAACTCTGCCTCTGAAAGCCCACTTGAGGGTCAGTTCTGACTTGATGGTACACAGCAATCATATACATATATATTTCATGAACTTATTTTTAATGGTAAAATATGTACACAAACAGGAAAAATATTCCTCCCACCTTCTTCTTGTTATGTGCCATCGAGTCGTTTGTGATTCATAGCAACCCTATGTACAAGAGCCCTAAATACTGCTCTATTCTGTGCCAACCTCACCGTCTCCGACACACTCACTCCCGTCACCCCATCACTGAATCGATCCATTTCATCGAGGCTCTTTCTCTCCTTCGCCGCCCCTCCACTCTGCCAAACATGATGTCCCTCTCCAAGGACCAGTCCCTCCTTGCAACATGCCCAAAGTATGTCAGACGAAGCTTCATTTGATTCCTTATTATTATTTCTTAGGCATCCTTCCAGAAGCTGTCATTGCATATGAAAGCATGTTGTATGTATCCATGCACAGAGCAGCTGGTGAATCTAAACTGTTTGTCTTTAGATTGGCAGTAAAATTCCTTATCCACTAGGCCACCAGAGCTCCCTGTATATGTATGCATATATACATGTATTCATTTGTATTATACCTCTGTGTGTGTGCACGCTTACGCTTTGGAGACTCTGATGGCTTAATGGTAAGGAGACACGCTGCCAATCTGAAGTAGCATGGTTCAAATCTATGAGCTTCTCGGGAGGAGAAGGATGGGCACTCTTTTCCTATGCAATTTACCGCCTCTGCAACCCCATTATAAGTCAGCTCTGACACCATGGTACACAACAACATATATGTTTTACAACAATTTTTTTTTAAGATAAATAGAGAGACTTACTGATTGAGATGGGAGAATGTAGTTATTTGGGGGGGTCAGGAGACTCACTCTGCTTCCAAGATATCACCTCTCTAACACCTAGTTGCCTGTCAGGGTCCTGACACCTGACACCCACAGCTCCAATGGGACTCCTTTTACCTAAATCACCCATAGTAACAGAATTGACATTTGAAAAATACTTTCTATTCCAGCCACATGAATGGCTGTTAAATATGCACTGATGTGGTCCACTCCTCCTTCTGAAAGTTCCTGCCTCTCTTGGATCCTTGGTCCTTGTTCCCTTGACCTGTTTTAGATACATTTTTACTAGTTCTTCCCAGTTCTGCCAAAGATTTGCATTTGAGTAGGAAAGCAGGATGGTGAGAAAAAACCAGGAAGTTTAAGAAGAAAGTATTGGGTCCATGATGATGCTAAGAGACTTAGGAGGATGGAATGTACATTTTATTTCATGTTATTCTAGAACAATTAACTGTGCTCATAAAGTATCTACACCTGGATCAAGAAGCTGTTGTCCAAACAGAACAAGGGAACACTGCATTGTTTAAAATCAGAAAAGGGTCGAGGTCGTACCCTCATGTTTGGAAAGGTGAAGGGACAGTGAAAGAGAAGAATACCTTCAACAAGGTGGGTTGACACAGGGACTGCAGGAATGGGCTCACCTATGTCAGAGGTTGTGAGGATGGCACAGGAGAGGACAGAGTTCAGATGTGTTGTCCACGGGGTCACTATGAGTTGTACTCAATTTGATGGCACCTAACATCAACAACGAAATTCGATCTGTAGGCTGAGCAAATCAGTCAAGAAGCTGGACTGTATGAAGATATATGTGGCTTCTGAAACAGAGGAAGATTCATCAATAACTTGCATTATGCAAATGATACAACCTTGCTTACTGAATGTGAAGAGGATTTGAAACATTTGCTTCAGAAGATCAAAGACTACAGCCTTCAAACGGGATTATATCTCAATATCAAGAAAAAAAATATCCTTACCCCCAGACCAAAAGGCAATATCATGACAGATGGAGAAAAGATTGAAGTTGTCAATGATTTCATTATACTTGAGCCCACAATCAACACTCTTGGTAAAAGCAATTAAGAAACCCAAAGGCATGTTGCACTGGAGAAGTCTGCAGTCCAGGACCTCTCCTAAATTAATCAGAGCAAGGACACCAATTTTAAAATGAAGATGCAACTGATCCAAGTCATGGTCTTTTTAATTTCTGCCTATGCATCTGAAAGTTGGACAGTTAATAAAGATAACTAGGGCTTCCTGTGCTTTAGGAGGAGGGAGTCCTGTGGTCTCTGTGAGATCTTAGCTTTTAAGAGAGAAGTGGCTGGTGTGACAGCCTTCTACGGCTTGCAAGTCTGTATTGGCTGTCTGCCTTTAGCGTTGCCTGCTATCCGTTATGCCACTGCCCATGGCACTGCAGACCCGGTTGGCCAAGAGGGGCATCCTCAAGCATTTGGAGCCTGAGCCAGAGGAAAAGATTATTGCTGAGGACTATGATGATGATCCTGTGGACTATGAGGCCACCCGGTTAGAGGGCTTGCCACCAAGCTGGTACAAGGTGTTTGACTCTTCCTGCGGGCTCCCTTACTACTGGAATGTGGACACGGACCTCGTGTCCTGGCTTTCCCCACATGACCCCAACTCTATTGTTACCAAATCTACCAAGAATCTCAGGAGCATTAATGCAGATGCTGAGGAGAAGTCAGACCGAGGCCAGGACAAACTGGACAGAGATTGAAATCGTGGCTGTGACAAGGTGGACAGAGACCGAGAGCGGGACAGAGATCGGGACCATGGGTATGATAAGGTAGACCAAGAAGAGGCCAAAGAACGCCTTCATCATCGCCAAGAGGAAATGGCCCCCTACCCCAAGAGCAAGAAGGTAGCAAGCCGAAAGGATGAATTAGATCCCGTGGATCCCAGCTCCACGGGGCACATGGTCAACAGGGCTTCCCAAGCAGAATGAGGCAAAGACAGATGCAGATACAACAGCAGCTGGGCCCCTCTTTCAGCAGAGCCCATACCAATCACCAGGGGCTGTGCTCCGGGCCAATGCTGAGGCCTCTCGAAACAAGCAGCAGGATTGAACCTTTGCCTTTGCAGCCCCTGCTCTTTTAGAGATTCTCATAATCTCTGTAGAGATTTTTAATAAAAGCTTTTCTGTGGAAAAAAATAATAAGGATAACTAGAAAAGAATCTGTGCATTTGAATTGTGGTGTTGGAGAAAAGTACTTAATACACAAGGGCCTGCCATAAAACCCAAGTCTATCTTAGAAGAAATGCAACCAATGTGCTTCTCAGAGGGAAGAGATGGTGGTGACACTTAGTCACACATATTTTGGGCATGTTGTCTGAAGGAGCCAATTCTTGGAAAAAGACGTTGAAGTGGGAAAGGTAGAGGATCAGAGGAAGAGAAGGGCTCTCCACAAGATGAACTGACACAATGATTATAACAACGGGCCCAGGCAGATCAGAGACAGTGAGGACAGTGCAGAATATAACAAGGTTCAGGTATGTCACTCATAGTGTTGCCAATGAGTTGAGGTTGACTCTACTTAATAATAACATCCATCAGCATGACCCAAGATGTCTCCCTCTGCCCATCTTTCCCCAAAACTAAGCCCAAAAGTGTCTTGATTTGCACTGTATGAATCTTTCAGGGGAAATAGGATGTCTTCAGCTTTGCAAGGAGATTTATGTTCCAAAAGGTGGAGGGTCAATGAAGAAGAAGATGCTCAACCAGGTGGAGTGACAGGGTGACTGTCACAATGGGCTCTAGTGTGTCAGGAAGTGTGAAGACTGTGCAGGATGGGACAGGGGTCAGATCTGGTGTTCATAGGGTCACCATGAGTTGTACTCAACTCGACAGCACCTCACAACAACAAGCAGGACCAGGTGAAGGTACAATAGGGTAACAGAGTTGGATTTCAAAGGGAAGGGAAGATGCAGGCAAAGGATGAATTATGCTTGATTTGGTCACTAAGTGAAATCCCCCAGGCCCCCAGCCCAAACTCTTGCTGCTGCTGTTGTTTGATAGGTGCCATTGAGTTTAGCACAACTCAGGCCTTATAATCCTTGCTGTTGTTATGTATGACAAGACAGCAGGGATGGTGAAGATGGCTCAGGATAGGGCAGGATTCAGGTCTGCTGTTCATAGTATCACAACAAGTCATGGTCAACTCGATGACTACTAAGCACAACATCACTCAGTACAGCAAGTCATCAGATATCCCAGGTAGACAGCAGGAAGTTGGACTGGGGCACCCATCAAGTGGACTAGAGGAGGGGCTGTAGAGAGCTGCAAGGCTGGAGTTTCCCACCCACAGATCGTGGGCTGGGAGGTAAGACAATTTCTGGCCAGTCCCACCCATGGAGAAAGTGACCGCATAAGTTACTACATCAGGTGAAACCAGCACAAATGATACCACTGAGTGTCAATCTAGGTTCCCATAGCCCATGGTCGATGCTTCAGCCCCAGGCATCAGTCCTCCACACCTGCCTGTCTCTCCAGCACCTCCATCAGAGCTGAGTTTTTAACTCACCCCTCAGTTCCTCTCACATCACCTTCCCAAACAGCACTGCATCAATGCCTGGCACAAAACAGATGTTTCAAAACTGCCTTTGAAACAAAGTGCGATTGTCAACCCTGAAATTAGGATAAAGAGCCATGGCCCCCTGGTCTCACTGATTTGGTGGGAACGGTCTCATCACTTGCAGGGGGCACAGTAAGATGCACATGGGCCAGCAGGAAGACAAGCCCATGGTGAAAACTGCTGGTTTACTGATAGGGTGAGAACAGAAGGGGTCAGGGGGACTGGAGTTAAATGATGATTCTGACTGTTTTGAAAAAATTGTTCTCCCCTTATCCTCCCTTTTAAGGCACTGCCAGGAAAATAGGCTCCACAAATTGATTTCTCCATTACAGCCTGTTGTTGTTACTGTGTACCACTGAGTTGGAACCGAGCAGTAGCAGGCCCTTCAGCTGGTTTTCAGAAGCTATAAATCACACAGGAGGCAATTGCCTAGCTTTCTCCTATCGAGTAGCTGGTAGACTTGAACATCACGCCTTCAGGTTAGCAGCACAGCTTCTACTCTTAGGCCACCAGGGCCTAGAAGACAGAGAGCCTGAGTGTACCCTCCAAATACCACATCTTCTAAGACCTTGGGGGAGCTCTGGTGGCCTAGATCAAGTCACTTGCTATGTCTGTAACTGAAATAAGCCTGAACAATTCACTCTTGTCGTTATTGTTGTATATCATTGAGTTGGAGCCGACCCATAGATGACCTTCCAGGGGGTTTTCAGAGGCGGTTAATCACATGGGACGAGATTCCCGTCCTTCTGCAGAGAAGCTGGTGGATCCGAACCATGTGCCTTCTGGAGTGTAGTGCAGCTTGGGCCTCCAGAGGCCCCTAGAATGGATACCCCGGCATGGATAAGTCCTTTCAGGGGCTGGCCCCGGAGCCCCATGCATGAAACCTGCTCCATCTTCTGTTCCTACTCTGCGCTGGGCACCCCGAGTGGGGCTTTTGCCTCCAGTCCTCAAAGCAGCCCTGAAAGAAGGCAAGCTGTGATGGCTTATGTAATGCTGTGATGCTGCAAGCGGTATCACTAAAATGGAAAATCCCAGCAGCATCCCTCAGCTCAATGGATTTCCCAGAGCTACTAGACTAAGACACACCAGGAATAAAGCCCAGAGAGCTACTCCTGCAAAAGCCCTCAGGATCACAGGAGCAGGGTGGTCCATTAGCGCTTGGACACAAGCTCCCTGGGTTGCAAGACCCTCAAAGTACCATTGGCTGCAGCAAGGAGCAGGAGTGTACCAATGAGGGTGACAGTGGTAGAGGACCCAAAAACATTTTGTCCAGTTTTCCATAGGGTCATCATGATTCAAAGCCAATTCAGTAACAACTATCACCAACAGCAGCCCCATTTAACAGATGAGCAAAGCAGGGCTCACAGAAAGTAAGCCGAAGGCTACACAGCCTCAAAGTGGCAGAGTGGCTCAGATACAATTGACCTGGTTCCAAACTTCAGTGTGGAAAGCATCTGGACACGTTCTCTCTGTTCTCCTGCCTAGCAGCTGTGGATTTGAACTGCACGTCTCTGGGCTGGCAGTGCAATTACTTCACACTATGACACCAGGAGTCCCTGGACCTCCCTAAAGAGATTCTCCACCCTCACTCCCACCCCCCAAAGGAGTCTGAGGGAGAAGCTTTCTGAACGATTGGATTCAGGAACTTCTGCAGGGACCCTCCACCCACTGTGAGGCTCAGTAACAAGCCATCGCCTTACCGTAGGCCGTTTCCAGACAATGCCTTCAGTTTGTGGGGAACACGGTCCAAGGTCTTTGTAGCCCAAAGCTGATGGACATGCTGGGAACTCTGGGTCTTTAAACAGGACCCCTGAGTCCAGGCACTGTTGCCTCAGGGACTCAAAGTCCTGACCCAAGTACTTCACAGTTTGCTTGATGGAGCCAAGACCTTTAGCCACCGCCTGCTTCTTGGACAGTCCGGCTGCCAGAGTTGCCATGGCTGTGGGCTCTGTGGACTGGACTGGAGAGCAAGCCTGTTCCTCAACCACACAGGTCTGTTCCACTGGGAAGAGAGCTATAAAATGGCAGATGGGAGGTGGAGCAAGTCACCATCTCACCCACAGTCCTGCTCCAGTGCAGTGAGTCACAGGCTGGAACAAATATGTACCCACGGTGTAGATAGATGGATACAGCAGACCATTAAAGCAGCTTCGAGCCTTCAGGGCCCATCCCTAAGCATTAAACTAACAAAGGCATTAGGATCACAGCTACACCCACATTTCTACTTGGCTCCCATTGTGCTCAAGGGCTGAAATGAGAACATGCATTATACCACAGCTTGAGGAAAGCTGTTACCAGAGAAGTGGAGAATTCTGAGCAGGACAACTAGTTCCTGAAGGAGTTTGCTTTCCTTGTGGAGAAGCTTGGTTCTGAACTGCCAAACAAGCTGCTATCGTGGTTATTGATGTTGTTATGGACCATGAGTCAGAACCGAGTCATAGCTGGTCCTTCAGCTGGTCTTCAGAGGCTGTAAATCATAGGGGAGGACACTGCCATCTCTCTTCTGCCTGTGGATTGAAACTGCATGCCTTAGGGTGGACAGCAGGATGGTCAATCTCCTTGTGGGTGAAAACCCGCTGGAGGGTCAGTTACTTCTACCTCAATAATACGCAAGTCACTAGAGCGTGGTGGCCCTGAGTGCCTGCGCAGGACCCTGGTCCACAGAATTTTCAAAGCCTTACTTCTCAGAAGTCATTTGCAGGTTTTTCTACCAAGGTGTTAGATCAGAATTTTGAAATTTTTTTTTCTTTAGTGGTTGAGCATGCTGTTTGCACCACCTGACGATCTAGGGCAGAACAATCAAAAAAGTGTGGTTCACAGATGGAAACAGCATAAATCTGACAGGAGGAGCTGCAGCTGACTGCCTGAACTCCCATCCCAATGCTGTCAAAGAATTAGTTCTGCTGCCTTGGGCAGGGTATTTAACCACTCTGCCCATTAACTTTTCAAGAATATAATATGTTGTTGAAATATCTGTGGTGCACATGTGGGGTCACCATGAATCAGAGCTATCTCAATGGCAATTGAAAAAAATAAAATTAAATCTATCTTAAGAGTGTAGGCAAGAGCCATGATTTTCAAGCTAGTGTGTATAGTGGACTAAAAGACGACTTCCCTAGGAAACCAGGTCCTGAGCCCTGACATTTAGAAATTGTGTCATTGGAGCTCTGGTAGCTTCAGAGTAAAGGACTGTACTGCCAATGCAAAGGTATGCAGTTTGAATCCACCAGCTGCTCCTTGGGAGAAAGGCAATCTCCTCTCTTGCAACTTACTGACTCTGAAAGCCTGCCAGAGGGTCAGCTAAGAGTCAGCTCCAACTCACTGTTACACAACTACTTTGTATGTGGGAAAGGGGACTTTGTAGATGCGATTAAGTTAAAGATCTTGAGGTGAAGAGATGGTCCTAGATTGAGTGAGCCATAAATGAAATCATATGTATACTTATGAAAAGGAGCCAGACTTACAGAAAGAGGAGGAAGTGCCGATCAAGGACAGAAATTAGAATGATGTGGCCAGAAGACAAGAAAGGCCAGCAGTCAGCAGGTGCTGGGAGAGCCAAAGGCTTGAGTTTTCCCTAAAGATTGGAAGGATCCTACAAGGATCAGCATTGAGTTGTTGGATGATGTAAGTAGTTTGCACTTGATCATTAGCCCAGAAAGGAATGATTCAGATGCACCAAACAGCACCCTGGGCAAAGGCCTGGAAAATAGTTCTCATAAATGTATACAGCTAAGGAGACCCCACAGAGCAGAGCTCTGCACAATAAAAATGTACAGCCAAGGAGACCCCACAGAGCAAGGCTCTACACAGGCCCTGGGGGTCAGGATGACTCAACAGCAATGCTTTCGATGATGATTACAAAGATGATGATTAGAGGGAGTTCTTGTGGCTTAGTGGTAAAAAGTTGTGCTGCCAATCCAAAAGCACATGTTTCGAATGCCCCATCTTCTCCATGAGAGAAAGCTGAGCAATCTCCTCCCTTGCTATTTACAGCCTCTGAAAACTTACTGAAGGGTCAGCCATAAGTTGATTCCAATTCTATATTATATAAGATTATTATTTGTTATTTATGTGAAAGCATACAAATCATACTGATTTTTCATACTTCATAGTTGTTTTGTTTTATATCTGTGTCCTAGTTTGTGTGCCATCGAGGCAGAAACATCTCTTATCTGGCTCAAAACCCTCCAGTGGGTTTTCAGAGGTGGTAAATCACATGGGAGAACATTACTCCTCCTTTTCCCTTATAACTATAGTGTAGACGATTGACCTTTTTAAACTCATTAATCTTCATTCCCACCTTATAGCTGAGGAGGAATACGCAAACCTGGTGAATAAATGACTGCTGATGGGAGTAGTTAGTTTTGCCATCCCATCGGGTTTAAATTGAGCTGGTTTAACAGAGAAGATGGGAACCTCAATACCAGCATGAAGAAGCAGAAACTGCAGCAAGAGTTCCTGTCCCTGTGCCAGTCGGACCAGGACCTGCAAGAGAGCACTAGCACAGAAGAGAACCAGGGACTGACACGAGACAGGGCTGATCTGGGACTCCTATCCCATGGATGCAGAGCCAGGAGCCTTCATTGAAGCTTACTGGAGGATAGGGAAGGTATCAGAATTGGCAGGACTAAGAGAGCTTTATAACATAACACTGGCCTAAAAGCTGCAAGGCTGAAGGGCCTGGGGGAACACTTTGGCAGCTATTGTGATGGATGATTTGTATCCTGGAATAGTGGTGGCCTACTGGGTAAGGAGTTGCTCTTCCAACGCAGAGGCAAGCCATTCAGATCCATCAGCTGCTCCACAGAAGAAATATGGTAGTTCTCCTCCCATGTGATTTATGACCTCTGAAAGCCCATGTGAAGGTCAGCTATAATAATTTTCACCTCAACAGCATGTTGTTGTTATGTGCCGTCGAGTCGCTTGCGACTCATAGCGACCCTATGTACAACAGCCCTAAACTCTGCTCTGTCCTATGCCAATAGCACTGTCTCCGACACTCCCATCCCGATTATCCCAGTCACTGAATCAATCCACCTCATAGAGGGCCTACACCTCCTGCGCTGTCCCTCCACCCTCCGAAGCATGATGTCCCTCTCCAAGGACCGGTCTCTCCTCACAACATGTCCAAAGTATGTTAGACGGAGCCTCAGAATCCTTGCCTCCAAGGAGCCACCCAGTTTAACCCTTTCCAGGACAAATGTTTGTTTTCCTAGCAGTCCATGGTATTCTCAATACTCTACTCCAGCACCACAGCTCAAAGGCATCAATTCTCCTTCTATCCTCCTTGGTCATTGTCCAACTCTCTGATGCATAACAAGTGATTGCGAAGACCATTGCCTGTATCAAATGCACCTTAGTCTCCAGGGAGACACCGTTGCTCTTCAGTACTTTGGAGAGGTCCCTAACAGCAGACTTTCCCATGGCAATGCGCCTTTTAATTTCCTGGCTACTGGTGCCAAGACTGTTGACTGTGGAGCCAAGCAAACTAAAGCTGTATACAATCTCAATCTCTTCACCATCCATCCTGATACTGCCAATTGGTCCAGTGGTGAGAATCTTTGTCTTCTTGACATTGAGCCTCAATCCATATTGAAGGCTACAGTCCTTGACACTCTGCAGCAGGTGCTTCAGGTCCTCTTCAGTTTCAGCAAGCAGGGTTGTGTCATCTGCATAACGCAGATTGTTGATAAATCGTCCACCAATCTTGACTCCACATTTCTCCTCATAGAGCCCAGGCTCCCAGATAATCTGTTCTGCATATAGGTTGAAAAGGTATGGAGATAGGATGCATCCCTGGCATATGCTCTTCCCAATTTTGAACCATGCAGTGTTGTTCTGATGACTGTGTCCTGGTCCAAGTATATGGCTGGGTTTAGAAAGGGTCGTGGTACTAGGGATATTGTAGCTGATGTTAGATGGATCTTAGCTGAAAGCAGAGAATACCTGAGGAATGTCTATCTATGTTTCACTGACTATGCAAAGGCATTTGACTGTGTGGATCATAACAAACTGTGGCTGACTCTGAGAAGAATGGGAATCCCAGAACACACGATCGTGCTAATACGAAACCTATACTTGGACCAGGAGTCGTCAACAGCATGTAGCCAAACTAAATTATAATCTGTAAACTTCTCCAATAAACCTTGAGTATGAGGTCTGTGTAGCTATTGCAATGTATTTCAGACCTAATAGTAGAGTACTATGACTGGTGTTGGTATTAGTAGAAGAAGTAGGATTAGGAACGTGGAGACTGTCTGAACTTATGGGAATTTATGTTGTGAATGTTGCTAATGGAGACTGTTCCCCTTTGTGAAGTTAATAGATGGCAAACTCAGTCATCCACATGCTGCCCCAACTCTTTTAACATAATTGCCATTTGTTAATGTGGTTCATTTATTACAATCTCAATCAATCTCTTATTATCTGTTGCCTTTCCCTTCATCTAACTTATCTATTTACTAATTTTTACTGTCTTCTCCCTCTCTTCCTATCCTTATTAAACCTCTAAGTTTGCTTCAATCCATGTGTTAAAATTTCCTTCTTCTTGTTGATGTTTTTAGGCACTGTCAAGTCAAGTATCATTCATAGCAAGTTTATGAACAGCTTATCTGAACACTGCCCTATCCTGTGTCATCTTCCTAACCTCTCCCACACTCAAGCTCATTGCCACAGTCACCATGTCAGCTCTTCTAGTTGAGGGTCTTCCTCTCATTTGCCACTTCTCCATCTTCCCTAATATAGTATTCCTTTACAAAGAATAAACCTCTCCTAGTAACATACACAAAGTATGTGAGAAGTTTCATCATCCTTGCTTCCAAGGAGCACTATGGCTGCACTTTCTCCAAAACCTATCTGTTCTTTTGGCTATGCTTGGGATATTCAGTGCTCTTCTCATATACCACTCTTTAAAGGCCTCTGTTCTTCTTCTGTCATC